GCCCATTATCTTGTAGTTCCACTTTGCCATGAATCTTTTGAAGTCACTTCATGTATGTGTGTGCACATATCCCCCCTCTTTTCTTGGAGGAGAAATAGAAGAGAGGATGAACACATTAAATAGATATTGGTGGTGGTGGTGTTAAGTGCCAACTCATAGTGGCCCTGTATGGGGTTTCCAAGGAGCGGCTGGTGAACGTGAACCACCGACTTTGCGGTTCAAACAAGCGTTGCAGTCCAGTGCATTAACCTGCAGTGCCATACCAGGACTCCAAGTAGATACAAGTTATTGTTAATATTGTAATTTTTTAGGTTAGCTCCATTGGTGTTATACTGTTAAAATAGTAAAAGAAAAGAAAATAGGGCCATGTACCACAAGGTCAGCAGTTCGAAACTACCAGCTGCTCCGCGGAAGAAAGATGAGGCTTTCTGCTCCCGTAAATATGTACAGCCTCGGAAACCCTGTACAGGGTTGTTATGAGTCGGAAGTGACTCCATGGCACATAACCACCACCACCACCACCACCACCATGGACCAATGATGTCAGGGTATCATGAACCAGGGCTTAAAATTAATCCAGTTCCAGGCATCTGAGATCCATTAAACATACACATATGCACACAAACATGGAGTTAAAAGAACTTATCCAAGGTCACTCAGCTTGACCTTGGAGAGCTCTTGGCTTTCTCTCAGGCAATGCCTGTGATGACAGAAAAGTCCATTCATGTTACTACATGACCCTGCCTTTTCCCTGACTGTTTCTAAGAACCCCAATAATTCCCACTCCAAAGTTCCTCTGGGCTTCCCCTAGGATTCCGACCATATGTTCTCCAATTGTGTAAGTGTTTGGGGCAACAGACAAGGGAGGTCTGTGGTCACTCACCGTGGAGCAGTGGCAGATGAAACCTGGGGGTGGTCCTGTTGTGGTCTCACAGGACCCTCCATGGGAACAGGGCTGGCTCTGGCAGGGGTCGAGCTCCACCTCACACCACTGGCCTGGCGGATGGAACAGTGGGGTGAGATTGGACCTCACACACTGCCTCTCCTAGCTCATTTCTGACACTAGATGTACAGGCCAGGGGATCCTGGGTCAGCTTCTCTGGGGTGGGGAAGGCTGCCCCAGGGGTGAGGATTGTCTATTTCCATGACCTGCTCAGCTGTGCCCCAGAGATCCCCTTATTCCCCTCTCTCCAGCCCCAGGCCTCACCTGTGTGTCCAGGGAGACACTGGCAGTAGAAAGCATTGGCCAGAGGGTGGCAGGCTGCAGTGCCCGTGGGGTGGCAGGGCTGGTCCAGACACTCGTCGACGTCCCCCTCACAGCGCAGACCCACAAAGCCGGGAGGGCAGGAGCACTGGAAGCCCCCAGGTTTGGGGGTGCAGGTACCCTGGTTGTGACAAGGCTGAGACTGGCATGCGTCAGGTTCCTTTGAGCAGTTCTGTCCACGGTAGCCTGGGGCACACTGTGGACAGAGAGTTAGTGGAGATCCAGTGGATAAGCCCAGGCCAGTCTGTCAGCTCCCACCTTCCATTTCAACCCATCATCCATCAGACCATGTGTAGCTTAACCCTTTGATCTCAACTCCTTGTAATACGCACTTGTTCCATAACATAATGCCTCTCTAGTTGCAAACTATCTCTACAACACATTACCACTACAGACAACACAGTCTGGGGCAAAACCACCCTTTTTTCACCCACACACCCATGAGGTTTTTACAGACTTTAGTAATGAATTCACAAATATTTATTGAATGCCTACTTTGTGCCATGGGAGCGTGGTGGCTTTAGAGGATAAACACTGGACTGAGAACCACAAGGTCAGCGGTTCGAGCCCACCAGCCACTCCGTAGGAGAGAGATGAGGCTTTCTTTCTGCTCCTGCAAAGATTTATAGCCTCAGAAACAGGGTCACTATAAGAACTGACACGAGGCACTCAACAACTTTGCGCTAAGCGCCAGATTTTTTGGGAACTCTAGAATGCACAGAAAATTAGAACTTATTCCTGCTTCCATGAAGCGCTTTGTCAACTAGAAGAGATAGACAGCTAACATTGCATGGTTTACATGCATAATCTCATATAACCCACCTAGATGACTTTTCATGTGGATTATCTTGGTTGATCCTAATTTTACAGACAAGGAAAGCAAGACAATGAAAGATTAAGTGACTTTCCCAAGTCAGTAGGTGGCAGAGCTAAATTCAGTGCATATCTGTGACTCCCACAGGGTTTCCAGGATTGGACTCCTAATGTGTTGCTGCGGATCAGCATTGGACTGCAAACCACAAGGTCGGCAGTTCAACCCCACCAGCTGCTCCTTGCAAACCCTGTACAGGGTCGCTATAAGAACAGACTCAATGGCACTCAACAACAACTTTGTGCTAAGGATCAATTTTTTTTTTTTTTTGGAACTTTAGAATACACAGAAAATGAGAACTAATTCCTGCTTCCATGAAGTGCTTAGTCATTGGTCGCTATGAGTCAGAATTTTTAGCCAGAATGCTAAGGAAAACAACAATCTTTAAGGAAGTCAACTGCCACTTCTTTTCCCGAGGAGCATTCTGTGGGTTCAAACCACTCTCCTGAATGCTTAACTAGTGTGCCACCATAGCCAATGCTCTTAACCATCTTCTGCTTTTATATCATGCTGCTTGTGCTATAAGGGTGATTGAAGAGGTCTGAACCATGGGCTGAGATTTTGTAAGAAAAAGAAGAGTATCCAAGAATTGGAGAACCAGGAAAACTTCAGAAAGACAGTTCATTGGGTTATGTGGGAGAAAAGGGAATTTACAAAGGCACCCGAGGAATTGTCATGTTGTTGTTCTTGTTAAGTATTGTGGAGTCAGTTCCGACTCATAGCAACCCTGAGTTTCCAAGGAGTGGCTGGTGGGTTTGAGCCACCAACCTTGTGGTTAGCAGTCTAGTGCTTATCCCACAGCACTACACTAGGACTCCAAGGAATTGCCTCAGTGTTGGAAAAAGCCAGAGAAGATGGTGTCTTGGAAATTTTTGAAAGAGGGAGTTTCATGAACGTGGGTAATGAATGTACTGGGTTCACTAATGATCGCTACACTACTTTTGAGTGTGTTTGGAAATGTTTAAAATAAAAAGTTTAAAAAAGTAAATTAAAAAGTTGAAGTTAGGGACCTGTATCACACTTTCTATTCAAAGCTGTGGCTCAGAGCCCAGTAATCAGACTGCCTGGACCTGGTCCCAGCTCTGCCTGTCCTGGCTCAGTGGACTGCTGAGAAGTCCTAACCAGAGAAAGTACAAGGTGCTTCCTGGGTTTGGTCTTAAAAGGTGAGAGGAAGAGGAGTAGGGAAGGGCATTCTGGGCAGAGGCAACAGCAATGGGAAAAGACTGAGAGGCACAAGCTGGTATTGGCTGCATAGATTTTGTTGGGTGGCACAAACAATTTGCAATCACCTAACAAAAGCACTTGACCGCAAGATCAGTTTGAACCACAAGGTTGGCAGTTCAAACTCCTCAGCCGCTTTTGAAAACCCTATAGAAGGTCACTATGAGTCAGAACTGACTCGACGGCACTTGACAACAACAATCTAAAGGTTGTCAATTCATATCCACACAGTGGCACCTTGGAAGGAAGACCAAGTGATTTGTCTGTGTAAAGATTACAGCCAAGAAAACCCTGTGGAGCAGTTCTACTCTGTAAACGTGGGCGCACCATGGATCAGAATCAACAGCAATAGGTTTGAGTGGGTTTTGGAGGGTTGGGCTGGGGAGGGATGAGCCTGAGAGACAGGCAGGTCTGGGTCATGCAGGGCCTTGGGCTTCATTCTACAAGAGGACAGCCACTGAAGTATTTAAGCAGGAGAATCACAGGTTAGTGTATGTACCATTCAGTAGAGCACCCTGGTAGCGGAAGAGGGACTGAATCTACAGGATCACAAGCTAAGAGGCTGCGGCAGATGTCCAGCTGGAGTGTAGCAAAGACCTCAACTAAGGTGGTAGGATGAAAGGGAAGGGGAAAGGACAAATTTGAGAGATATTTAGGAGGTAAAATGACATGATTTGGTGGTTGGTTGGATGTATGGGGTTAAGGATGAGCTGGATACCTGGGGGTTCTCATGCACTACTATCTCCCATATCCAGCCCACCCTAGTCTCCCCTCTCCCTTCTAGACACTCTCACCTGACAGAGGTACCCATTGGGTTGGACTATGCAGGTGGCTCCATGCTGGCAGGGCCTGGACTCACATGGGTTCACCCTGTCCTGGCAAAAGTTGCCTTGGAACCCAGGGGGGCAGTGGCAGAAATAGGAGGGGCCGCTGTCGATGCAGAGGCCTCCATTGTGACACAAGGAGGAAACCTCTGTACCTGGGGAGGAGACAGACAGGAACAGATGAAGTTAAGTGCGGGGTGGAACTGTACTCAGGGGTACTAGACACTGAGCAGAGAGCCCTTTACCTTGTGGATAACTAATACTCCTGAGGGAGATAGAGACTACTCTGAGTCTGAGGATTTAGGAAATCCTGACACTGAAGAGGTTAAATCATCAAATTCCTCCTCTTAAAGCTTTAGCCAGAATGCTGCCTTCTTAGGCTAACAGTTTTATAAATGAATGCTTTCTTGGTTTAAAACAAATCTCAAGAAAGAAAGAGCTGGAAGGAAACTCTAGGTAGACATAATGTGGCTTACCAGTTGCTTAAATCTGTTAGTTATATTTTGTACCCTCTTTGATACTCTCTCATTATGATTCCCATCAACCATCCCCTAACCCCACCATAATCTCTCTCCTGAGCTCTTCTAGTTTCAAATCTTATTTGAATAAGGTAGTTATTATTTGATAAGAGGTTTGGTTAACATCAAAATGAGTGGGGTGGGGTAGAATATATTACGTGATATGTTGTTAAGTGTCTTTGAATTGGTTCCGATTCATAGCAACCCTGTAAAGGTTTTCTTAGGAGCAGCTGGTGAGTTTGAACCACCGGCCTTGTGGTTCAAACTGACCTTATGGTCCAGTGTGTTATCCTGCAGTGCCACACCAGTGTGGTTGGTTAAATGTGGCCCATTCTGAGCTACGATGATATCAACAGAGCTGAGTTGCTCCACATCAAATTATATCTCTGGTGGTTGTGTTAAACTGGACTCTCGCTGACTGGCCTGGTTGGTGGTGTTGGAGCTGTGTTGAATTTGTGACAGGAATTGAGTTGTGTTAGACTGAACTGGGTATTGAGCTGTAGAATCTATTACCATGTGTGATCTGTGTTATTTTGAGTCTCGGTTGTTTTGGCCAAAGGTTGAGTGTAGCTGCTCTTAGGGAGGGCATAGAGGAGGATCCCTTTTCTCCTTTATCTGTTCCTCATTCAGCCCTTGGGTTGGTACCTTGGCTCAGAGCACCTCTCTGGCAGGAGGATAGGGGAAGGTCACAGAGAGGCCCAGTCCATCCCTGGAGGCACAGGCACTGGAAAGAAGGTCCAGTCTGTAGGCAGTGAGCATTGTGGGGACAAGGCTTCTGCATGCATAAATCCAGCAGGGTCTAAGGGCGGAAACATGAGACAGGACAGAGCATCTGATTTCTAGGTCCAGATATGGTCCTCAGCTAAAAACTTCAGCTCCTCAAAATCCCATCCTTCTTAAACTCTCTTCTGAATGGTCTGAGACCAGGTGAGCCTCCTTGTTTTCCTTTGGTACGCATATTCTAGAATAGACCCTAGGATCAGAAATCCCTTCAGTCCTTCCTTTTTCATTCAGTACAAACCTCAAGCTAGATCTACTCCTAGACCTCTGTATCTCCCTTCATGTGCATACCTTTTCCCAACTGTTGTCCTTTGCTCAGTCCTTGATATTCCTTCTCATTAGAACTGTTCAGTTATCTGGGCACACCTGACTCAATGATCCTACCTGGCAGCTGCTTCCAGTGTAGCCAGGGGGACAGAGACATCGGGGACCCTGAGGGCCATCTTGGCAGGTTGCCCTGTTCCTACAGGGGCTAGACAAGAGAGAAACTGGGCCCAGTAAGGGAAGGTCTTGTGTGTGATGTGATGGGGTAGCAACCACAGGAGATGGGGCAATGGGCAACTAGGAAGGTAGGTCAAGTAAAAATTCTGGAATGTGGTATAAGAGACAGCCTCAAAGCCAAGGCAGATGAAGAGGAAGGAGGGGGATGGGGATGGTCTCCCTCCCTTCCCGCAGGGGTCTCACCTGTCTGCACAGCTAGGGTGGGTCCTTCCTTCACAACGTGGGCCCTGGAAGCCCATTGCACAGAGGCAGGTAGTGGTATCAGGTCTATTCACACAGGTCCCCCCATTGAGGCATGGGGCTGGAGAGAGAAGGCTGTGAGTGGTTTGATTCCTTGCCTGTTACCTGGGTTGTGACCTCAGTCACACCCCACACAGGACACACACCCCTGCCTATCAGAACAACAGCTCACTGCCATGCAATGAATTTTAATGTGGCACAACTCCACCTTGGACAGCCCTCCACCCCCCTGTGGTGGGCACTCACCAGAAGCACAGTGGTCAGTGATGCTCTGGCAGTGGACCCCAGTGTGGCTTGGGGGGCAGGTGCAAGAGTAACCTCCAGGAGTGGGCCTGCAGGATCCACCATTGAGACAGGGCCCCGAGTGACAAGCTGTCACCTCCTCACTGCAGGTGGGCCCTGAGGAAGAGCGTGGGGTCACAAGTGGGGATCTCCCTTTTGTTCTTTCCCTCTCCTTCCCCATCTCCAGTCCTGTTGTTCTCCCTGTACAACCTCTTTTCTTCCTTCCCACCTTCCAAACATTACCAGTGCTCCCCATAGCCCATGCCCAGTTTTTCTTACTAGTGACTGAGACCCAGAGCCCTTGGACCCGTCTCTAGTGGCCTTGATGTTGATTTAGGGGTGTGAAGAGTAAGAAAGCACCTCACCTGTGTAGCCTGTGGGGCAGGTGCAGTTATAGCCAGAGGCCTGGGGAGAGCAGGTCCCTCCATGAGCGCAAGGGATGGAGATGCAGCCCCCAAGCTCCACCTCACACTCTGGCCCTGTCCAGCCCATGTCACACACACATGACGACCTGGTTATAAAGAGAAAGGGCAGTTGTTTTTTAATTCTTCTAATGCATCTCCTCCCCTCTCCACTGACCTCCACTTGCTTTAGTTCTGAGATTCTGGTTTATTTGTTTAGTGACTTTATTCTCAGCATCATCCCTTCCCTCATATTCTTCAACTAAACACATACACGTTTCCTCTATTATTTATTTTATTAGAATGCCAGCTCCAAGAGAGCAAGGTACTTTGTGCCTTTTGTTCTTTGAGTTCTCCTAATGCCTGGAACATCACCTCTACATAGCAGATGCTTAATAAATATTTGTTTGTCTAATGAATTTATGGATTAGCCCTGGGACTTAATGGTTTTCTTTCTGCTTGGCCCCCAAGTCTGGGGCTTCCTCTCACTATTTTTTGGAGAACATTCACCAGTACACCATCCCATTAGCTATCCCCTAAGAACTTTGTCATCTCCTTGTTCGCCATTGGTTCACCTTTCACTAGCTGTCCTCTCTTGGCCAAGCTAAGGAGGACAGAAAGGAGGCGGCAGATGGGGCGGGCCTGGAAGACGTTACCTCTGGCAGTGCCCATGGTAGCAGGTACAGTTATCCTCAGTAGGGACACAGCCAGGACTTCCATCAGGGCAGAGGCAGTGAGCTTTGTTCTCCCAATCCTGGCATCCTTGCTTGTGTTGGCAAAGGTTGGGATCACATACGGGGACCTCACAAAACTGGCCTGGGTGAAGAGAGATAGGTAAGAGAGAAAACAGAGTTCCTCCATGTTCTTGATGGAGACAAAGGCCACTTCTGATGCATAACTTGCTCATTCCTCATGAACCTGTCCTTCCATGTGTCCCTTCAGGATATTGTCTCAACCTCTCAGGATGACACTCAGGGTCCTGCATGGCATGACTGTCCTACAACTGCTAGATTTCTCATCTTTGCTCTGTGTCACTTACAATTCCTTGAATGGGATGTACTTTTCTTCCCTTTGCACACACAGTTATCTCCAACTAAAACAGTGTCTTACATTCTATCTTGACACAGTCCTACTCATCTTTCAAGACTTAGCTCAGTCATCACCTCTTCCATGAAGTCTTCCCATCTTTCTGGGTTGGTTAATCCTTTGTGCTCCCATAGGATGCTATGCAGTCCTCTTTCAGAGTACCACTCTGGGCTGTAGTCATTCATTAGCTTGTTGGTCCGTCCCCACTAGATTCAAAGCCATTTGAGAATAGCAACTCTCTTACGCAACTATATGTCTGTAACACAGTGTAATAATATCTGACATAGCAAACCTATTACCAGTGAGTGGACTCTGTCTGACATTTTCTAAAACAAAACTCCTGAATCCAAACCTACTACCATTGAGTCTGTTCTGATCTCATAGTGACCGTGCAGGCAGAGTAGGACTGCTCCATAGGATCTCCAAGACTAAATCTTTATGGGTGCAGACAGTCTCATTTTCCTCAGATCCACTAGCAACACTCATGGAAGCAGCAGTCAAGAAATCAAATGACGTATTCCATTAAGCAAATTTGCTGCAAATCTGCAAATACCATGGCTTGGATCAGGCGCACCTTAGTCCTCAGACTGACATCTTTGCTGTTGAATACTTTAAAGAGGCCTTGTGCAGCAGATTTCCATATTGTAATATGTCATTTGATTTCTTGACTTCTGTTTCCATGAGTACTGACTGTGGATCCAAGCAAAATGAAGTGTTTGACAACTTCATTCTTTACTCCATTTCTCATGATGTTATTTATTGGTCCAGTGGTGAGGATTTTTGTTTTCTTTACATTGAGGTACAATCCATACTGAAGGCTGGAGTTTTTGATCTTCATCAGCAAGTATTTTAAGTCCTCTTTGCTTTCAGCAAGCAAACCTGCATCATTTGCATATCTCAAGTTTTTAATGAGCCTTCCTCCAATACTGATGCCATGTTCTTCTTCATATAATCCATCTTCTCTGATTATTTTGCTCAGCATACAGATTGAATAAGTATAGTTAAAGATACAACATTGATGCACACTTTTCCTGATTTTAAACCATTCAGTATCCCCTTGTTCTGTTTAAATGACTGCCTCTTGGTCTATGTACAGGTTCCTTATGAGCACAATTAAGTGTTCTGGAATACTAACTCTCTGCAGTGCTGTCCATAGTTTAGCATGATCCACACAGCCAAAAGCTTTTGCATAGTCAATAATCATAGGTAAACATCTTTATGGTATTCTCTACTACCAGCCAAGATTCATCTGATATCAGCAATGATATACCTAGTTCCATGGCCTCTTCTGAATCTGGGTTGAGTTTCTGGCAGTTCTCTGTCAATGTATTCTTGCATCCATTGTTGAAGTATCTTCAGCAAAATTTTAGTTACATGTGATATTAATGATATTGTTAAACGATTTCCACATTCTGTTGGGTCACCTCTCTCTGGAATGGGCACAAACATGAATTTCTTCCAAATAGTTGACCATGTAGCTCACTTCCAAATTTCTTGGCATAGATGAATGAGTGTCTCCAATGCTGCATCAGTTTGTTGGAAGATTTCAATTTGTATTTCATCAATTCTTTGAGTCTTGGTTTTTACCAATGCCTTCAGTGCCGCTTGGATTTCTTTCTTCAGTACCATCGGTTCTTAATCATGTGCTACCTCTGGAAATGGTTGAGCACTGACCATTTATTTTTGGTATGGCAACCAGGTATGTCAAATCTACTCTGATACAACGTGACCCTATAGGATAAAGTTTCCCCCATGGGATTCCCTAGGGGAAATTTTTACAAGAGCAGATTGCCAGGTCTTTTCTTCCATGGAACTTCCAGTGGGTTCAAACCACTGACCTTTTGGTTTACAGCCAAGTGCTTAACAATTGTGCCACTGGGCTCTTTCTATCTGTCATGTAGGTATTTAATAAATACTTGCCAAATAAGCAAATAAATGGCTTCCATTTCAGTCCCATCTTCTGCTCCTGAGCCCCAATCAGATCTCTCATGTTGGACTCACTGTGGGTCCTACAGTCATATCAACCCTCTTTCCCATAGTTACGCAGGCCTTGTATAGAATAACTCTAAAGAGGCCTACTCGCTCTTCAGTTTCACAATTTAACCCTCAAACACCCGTCAAGACCCTCTTTCTCACACTAAATGGACTCAAGCATTCTTCTAGTCATTTTCAGTGCCTTGCTTACCTGTGAGGCCAGAAGGACAGAGGCAAGAGAAAGCTCCTGGGTGATCAAGACAGCTGGCACCAGTGGGGCATGGTCCACTCAGACACTCATTCACTTCTGTCTGACAACGAGGGCCTTCAAAGCCTGTGGCAACAGCAAGAGACCTGTATGGACATCTGTCCCTTACCCCCCTGTCTCCCTCCAGTGTCTGAGTCCCAATTTACCTGGGAGACACTTGCAATGGAAGGTTCCAGGCTGGTCTTGGCACTGTCCACCATTGGCACAGGGAGAGCTTTCACACTCGTCAATGTCCTCCTCACATCTCGTGCCGGTGAATCCTGGTGAGGCAGGGAATGGGTGGGAGAAGAATACAAAGGTCATTGAGGGAGACAGAATGAAATTCTCCTCTTTTCTGGAAAGATGACCCTCGTTGGCTTCCCAGTGAAGATCCCTGGACAGTTGGGATGGGTTAATGGGGGGTGAGGCAAAAAAGATGAAGCTTGGCCACTTGCTAGTTACTTTGGGCAAATTACTCAACCTCCATAGAATTGAGTTTCCTCCACTGTAAGAGGGGAATAATAAATAATAGCATCTACCTCATGGTATGGACTCCTGGTGTGGTGCTGTAGGATCAGTACTGGACTGCAAACCACAAGGTCAGCAGTTCAAACCCACCAGCTGCTCCTCGGAAACCCTATACAGGGTCGGTATGAATCGGAGTCGACTTGACAGAACTTAACAACAACAACAACCACCTCATGGATTGCATGTGAAAATGCCTGCAAAGTGCATAGGCAAGTGCCTGGTCTGGAGTAAATAAGTGTCAGTTGCTATCCTAGCAGTAAATAGGAAGATGTCTTTTATGCTGGGGGAGAAAGGTCCAGGACAACTTTCTTGTGCCCAAGGTGAGCGGTGCCAAGACCATCCTGGAACTCCATGAGAGAGTGCACAGAGGACTCTGGGGGAGGATTGGAAATGAGTGACTTGGCAGGAACAGAAATGAGGTGGGTGAGGAAAGCAAAGGAAGATTTGGGGACGTAACAGAGGAGAGTTTGGAGAGCAGAGAAGGGGTTGGCAAAATAAGGGAACTCTTTGGCTAGGTTAGAGAGAAATTCAAGAGGCTATGGGTGGGGAACAAAAAATCTAGAACAAAATCAAATTCCTAAAAAATGTCCAACCTCAAAATGATGAAAACTTCCTAGATATTATCAAACATCTTAAGGCAATGAGTTGCTGGGGCTGGGGGCTCAGGACCATAGTTTCAGGGAACATCACGGTCAATTGGCATAACATAGTCCCAAAAGACAGTGTTCTACATCTTGCTTGGGTGAGTAACTGGAATCGTGAAAGCTTATGAGTGGTCGTCTAAGGTGCAGTTATTGGTTTCGCCATGTGTCTGATTCTTCATTGGAATCAATTAGTCCAATGGACTAATGGAACATGTGAACATCACTCTGCATGACTCTGAGACCAGTCAACTAGACAGTGCCTGATTACCACTAGCGACTGCTCTGAAAGGGAACACATTAGAGGGACCCAGATAGAGTGAGAGAAAATGTGGAACAAAACTCAAAATTATTTAATTAAATAATAATAATAAAAAGACTGAATTTACTGGCCAGAAAGAGAGTGGAGGAACCTCACACTATGACCCTCAACCACCGTTCAGGTTTGGAAAGGAGCTCATCTTCATGGCCCAATTTTCAATCAAGCATTAGATATGTTTATAGGTGGGGGACAGCAACACTAATATGGTATTCTCACCATGGAATGATCAATCGTTAAAAATCAAAAGGGCAACATTTTCCTAAGGACAAAGCTGAGAAGGGACAGGAAGGTGAGTAGAATGCAAATAGGAACCATAGGGAGGAAGCTGGTTACAGGGATTGTTACAGGGAGGGGATTATATCATTGTGATGAAACAAAATGTATGATTTGTTGAATGTAAAGCTAGTGATCTTGACTGTAAATCTTCACTCAATTCACAATAAAAAGCTAAAAAAAAAAATTAAATCACCAAATGAACTCACAAAATAAATAAAAAAGGCCTAGCCTAGTGGACTGATAGAGATTAGAGGAACCCCAGAGACTGTTACTCTAAGGTACCCTTTGAATGTAGTACCTTTCAGCCAGATTGTCTTATAAAATAAGCATTATCACTGTGAGTAATGTGCTTCCTTATAAAATTAGCTACATGAGATCAAGTGGTTAACATTTGCCCAAAAGCAAAGATCAGAATGCAAGGAAGGGAAGGGAAGCTAGGCAGTTAGAAACTGAACGAACAGAATGGAAAGACAGTCAAGCGCCACAGAGTGTCCGTTTAGACAATGTCTGACTGAATATGTGTCCCATGAAGTCTTATGTTAAAATTTGAGGTACATGCAATGGTTCATAACAAATGGTGCTTCTGCATGCACATTCAAACATTGTTATTATTATATTATTATGTTACAGATGTTTCACTGTATCTAAATGTTTATTTAATGTTTTTATACCTAGAAAGGTAACTACATACTATATACTAAGACAAATATTTGACTAACTGATGTTAGATATGAACTGTAAAAGTTTCCACTTATGTACAAATTCAATTGACTTAATTGAATTTAGGAACAGCACATGTTTGTAATCTGGGAACTGCCTACTTATAATATAGTGTTTATACAATATCCAAATCACATAATGTCCTATTTCAGAGAACATACTGTGGATGTTAAACCATGCATGACTAATATCATGGAAAAGTTTGTATAAAAATTGTTAAATGGGAACCTACTTTGTTGTATAAACTTTCACCAAAAACTCAATAAAATATTTTTTAAAAAGAAGTTTTGGGTGATTGCTGGCTTAAACTCTGGAGGTTCAGAGGCCTGGGGGCTGAGGGGTTGGAGTGGGACTGTACACACCAGGTAGGCAGATGCACTGGAAGCCATTTTGCAGGTCGTGGCATTCAGCATGGTTCAGGCAAGGAGCTGAGGCACACTCATCTGTCTCCACCTCACAGAATTGTCCTTCCAAGCCTGAGGACATGGGAGTGTACAGGAGATGAGGCTTGGCCAGGCCAGCCCTGGTATGGCTGACGCTTTTCTGTCCAGGAGCCTGCCTCCATCAGGTAGACCCTCCCCAGGTATTTTGGCCTGTGGGTAGGAGGAGTTGATCCCAAAAGCCCTGATCCCCTGCAGTCTTTGTCTCTGTCTCCTTCAGATGTGCAAACTCAGGGTGCAGGGCACCTGCTTGAAACCTGCTGTGAGTCATTCCTCTGTGCACCCAGGTGATGGATCAGCCTACAGATCTTTACAGGAGACTTAGAGGGTGATTTCTCTTGCTGTCGGGAGATCTGCTACCCCAAAGGAAGGATTTGAAGGGCAGTTGGAAAGCTTGGTCACTCCCATGTTGTCCCACTGCTTTGGGATGATCCTGGTCCCCATTGCCTCACCCTAATTGAGATTAGATCAACCTCTGAGCCTTGGCTGCCTCTCTCCTCTCACCTGGGGAGCCTGCCTCTGAAGCCCCTTTGCTATCCAAGACTGTATACAACCTCACTACTATCTGTGGCAGGCTTCTCCTAGAGGTCAGGGTGTCCCAGAGTTTTCATCTGGGAGAGGGCGAGAAGAGGAGAAACAGCTTTCAGTAACTGACCCCAGCTGGCCTGAGGTTATCCTTGCTCTGCAGAGCTGATGCTCAGTACAATAGTATTCTCTGTCCCCCTACCCAAAGCTCATCCAGCTGGTACCTGGTGGACAGAGGCAGTGGAAGGTGGCGAGCAGGTCCAGACAGGTACTGGCTGGGTGGCAGGGCTGGGACAGGCACTCATTGTGATCTACTTCGCAACGGGAACCTGTGTAGCCAGGGGGGCAGAGGCAATCGAAGGACCCAGGGGTGTTGAGGCAGGAGCCGCCATGTTCACAGGGACTGGGGCCTTTCTGGGCTGGGAGGAGAGAAGAATCAAGAGTCAGGAAAAGCGTGGGGGCTTGTTTGTGGTAGATGAGACCAAGTTGGGACTTGTGTCTTTAAGATGGAGAAAGACTAAGGGGACAAATAGATGGGGTCAGGGGGCTGAGCATTGATCAAGAGATGCCAAATTCGGAAAATTTCAGGAAAAAGAGATGTTCATTGGCTCATTTCTGTCTTGAGGGCAGAGGCCTGGTTGCAGCCTCAGAGCAGATCTGCTATGGGCGCCTCACCCATCTGACATTCATCCAGGTCCTGGTGGCAGGTGGGCCCAGAGTAGCCCGGCTGACACAAGCAGAGGGTGGAGCCCGTCAAGGGATTGGTGCTGCACTGGGCTTCTTGGTGACAAGGTTGACTCAGACACATGTCTTCCAGGTGGCAAAGGAGACCTACAGGGAAGGGGAAAGGAAGGAGATTCTCAGTGGCCACAGGAAGTTCCCAGCTGCCTTCTGGGGGCTTCTCTCACCTTCCATCTCCACCTCCCTGGTGCCCTCTGTTGCCCGCAAACCTGTGCGACCAGGTGGGCAGAGGCAGGAGAAGGAGCCCACGCGGTCAATGCAGGTGGATCCTGGGGCACAGGTGGCGGCGGCACAATCGTCTAGGTTCTCTTCACAGTGGGTGCCTCCCCAGCCACTCACGCATGTGCAGTGGAAGCCTCCAGCTAAGTTCTGGCAGGTGCCCCCGTTTTTGCAGTGAGGTAGACCCTGGGCCTCACACTCATCCACATCCTCAGAGCAGTCCCAGCCTGCAGAGGGGCGGAGGAACGACAAGGGCTGGGCTTCAAGCTGCTGAGAGGGGTGGCTGGGCACCAGCACGTCTGGGTCACTCACCTGTCCAAATCTCTGGGCAGAGGCAGGTGTAGGTGCTTAGCCCATCCTGGCAAGTGCCCCCATTCTGACATTGGTGCCCAACACAGTCATCTGGATTCACCTCACAGTCTGGGCCTGTGAAACCTGCAGAGGTCTGGGATCAGTTAGGGGCTGGAAGTCCTAAGGGAGACCACCCTTCCTGCCCAGAGGGTTGCAGACAAGTCCCTGTGAGGACACACCTGGGGGGCAGATGCAGAGGTGGAAGGTGGAGTCTCCGCCTGGCACCAGCTGACAGGTTCCCCCATTGCTACAGCCTCTAGGGGGACAAGGTCCTGCTTGGAGCCCACAGTGTGGCGCCTCATGCCCAGTGAGACAGAGACACTGGAAGGAGCCCAGGGTGTTATGACAGGAAGTGCCCTTGGGGCAAGGTCCTGGGTCCAGGAAGCACTCGTTGACATCATGTTCGCAGAAATGACCCTCAAAGCCAGGTGGGCAGCGGCACTGGATCTGGGGGTATGTGGCCAGACATACCCCTCCATTGACACAAGGCTTGGCTGAACAGAAGTCCCGAAGTTGGCACCGCTCACCTGTGACAGAGGGCAGAGGGCCATGTTTCTGACCCTGCACACATTCCAGCTCTTCAGAGAGAACCAGCCTTCACTCTATCTTATCTTCTTACCTTTACCCCATACCCTTTTTGCCCGGTTCCTTCTCCATCTCCCTTTGCCTCAATTTGCCATTCCTAGGGAGGCGGGGGAGGGGTGCCTGTGTCTGGAGTGACACAGAAGATAGGACATGTGTCTGACAGTGTGGGTATTGTAAACTGATGCTGCTTGGGAAAATCTGGCACAAGGAGTCTCTGAAGTAGACCCTTTCAAGGAGAGAGGAAAAAGCACTTGGCATCTGCAGGCAGGAGACATAGGTTGGGCTCCGTACTGTGACACATGGCTGTGTGCCTTTGGGCAAGTATGTCACTAAGCCTCTCTGATCCCAATTTCTTAATCTTTACCAGTTACTCTCAAGTCCATTCCAACTCATGACGTCCCGTGTGTGTCAGAGTGGAACTGTACTCCATAGGGTTTTCAATGGCTGTTTGTTTGGAAGTAGGTTTCCAGGCCATTCTTCTGGAAACTGCGCAGACTCCAATCTCCAATATTTCAGTTAACAGCCGAGTGCACTAACTGTTGGCATCACCCCACGATTCTACCTTATCCTTGGTGGTGGTGGTGGTTGTATGTCACTGAGTCGGTTCTGATTCATAGCGAGCCTGTATAGGGTTTCTGAGGAGCAACTGGTGAGCTTGAACTGCCGACTTTGCAGTTCAAACGGCTTTGCAGTCTGGCGCATTAGCCCACAGCTCCACACCAGGACTCCTGTTTATGGGAACAGAAAACCTCATCTCTCCACCTTATCTTTGTTGCTGTTGTAAAGTGTCAGTTCCAACCCATAGCGACCCTGTGTAGGGTTTCCGAGGAGCAGCTGGTGAGCTTGAACTGCCGACTTTGTGATTCAAACCAACTTAGAAGTCCAGCTCATTAACCCACAGCACCGTACCAGAGCTCCATGGTGAAAATTACAAGGATAACTAACTGCACTGTCCATGTGCACTAGTGATAACAGTGGGAATGAAGAGCCACCATTTCTTGCACAACTACTATGTGCCAGGTACTGAGCTAACTAAGAAGTTGATGAGCATCATTCCCTCTCAACAGCCGTCTGAAGTGTGAACACTAATATTCCAGCCTGTCAGCTGACAACTAACAACCTGGAGAGCTAACCGTCTTGTGCAAGCTCATGCAGCTCATTAGTGGTAGAGCTGGCATTTGGCCTGGGGCCTGGTCCAGAGTCACTCTCTGAAGAACTACAATTGTTTGTTCTCACACATGCTGTCTGGCTCCTGGTTTCTCACACCTGGTCTCAGCTCAGCTTTCTGCTGGACCCTTTAGCTCAGAATCTCCTGAAAATCTCCTTGTTCTGGGCCCTTCCCAGACTGATTAAATCTGACTTTCTGGGTTGGATACATCAATATTTTCAAAGCTGCCCAGCTGATTGCACACTTAGGTGAGTTCTAGAAGCTTTGCCTCTAATCTACTTTCACAAACACACCCTGTTTGGGGGGTGCTTCAGTTTCAATGTGCTTTTTTACCCATGTGACCTTTGTTTCTCGTTCTAGACCCTTCCATCCTGGCTGGTTCCATGGATCCCTCCTCTCCAGGGCTTGCAGCTCTGTCCGTCTATCTCTGACCACTTCCTCAGGGCAGACCATCCTGCTCACCCCATATCCATTTTTTTTTTTTTTGCTTTAGGATTACACCTCTTCTCCTGGGATGGGCCCTGACTTCTCTCTCTGGATCAAGTTTATGCCACTTCCACTATGCCTCCCACCATGTGATAGTGGGCACACCACCATTCAGAATAGGCTTCATTCAGATGCAAAAAATGCAGGGCCTTGGAGATCCCATGGTGACCCAGGCAATAATCCTTTAGCTGCTGGATTTCTCAGAGGGTCAGGGGAAGGATTAGGGTGGTGCACTGAGGGAGTTCATGTCAGGAGCTCCTTATGAACTAATTTGGAAGCATTTCAACATTTTAACAACCAATAGGGATCTGCTTTGGTAACACAGTGGTTACAAGCTGGGCTGCTAATCTCTTGGTTAGGAGTTCGAAACTACCAGTGGTTCTATGGGAGAAAGATGAGGCTTTCTGCTCTGGTAAAGATTTACAGCCTCAGAAACCCTATACAGGGTTACTATGAGTCGGAACTGGCTCCACTTCACATTGTTGTTAAGTGCCGTCGAGTCGGTTGCGACCCATAGCGACCCTGTACAGGGTTTCCGAGGGTGTAAATCCTTACGGGAGTAGAAAGCTTCATCTTTCTCCCGCAGAGCGGCTGGTAGTTTCGAACCGCTGACCTTAAGGTTCGCAGCCCGATTCGTAACCACTACGCTACCAGAGCTCTCCACTTCACATAACCACCACCATATGCATACTGGTGAATGTCACTCTTGGGTAAATGAATCACTGAACACTGGCTTGTTGATCATCATGGTCTCTGTCCTTAAAGGGCTCCCAGTCCTCTAAACTCCAGCTCCGTTTTCTCTCATCTCTCATCCTCTCTCCACTTCCATCAGCTCTTACCTGTCCATCCGGACATACAGTGGCATTGTGGTTGGCCTGAGGCCTGGATGTGGCAGCGGCCCCTTTGGTAACAGAAGGAGGGAAAACAGGGGTCCTCGAGCTGGGTCTGGCACTTCTCACCAGTGAAGCCAGGGGGACAGGTGCAGAAGAAGCTGGGGACCAAGGGAGACGGTGTGCTAGGAGAGGCTGAGGGGCCAGGGCGCAGGGCTTGGCAGCTGCCTCCATTCTGGCAGAGCTGGGAATCCTGGCAGGGGTCAAGGAACTGGCAGGTCTCACCCAGGAAGCCAGGAGCACACCTAGGCAGGGAGAAGAGAAAGACTTACATCACTGACCCCCTCCCCTGGCTCTCCCACCTCCCATCTTTTGCCTTCATTTGTTGTCCTTCCTCTCCTTCATCTCCTCCCTTTCTCCTTTCTTCCCCCTCTTGCTTCTTCCTACCCAGCTCTTGCTCTCTCTTTCCCCAGTGCCTCACTCCCCCAAGGCACACTCACTGGCAGACCTCTTGCCCCAGAGACAAAGTCAGGCAGGTGCCTCCATTGGCACAGGCTTCTGGAGAACTCCCGCACAGCAGCCCTAGGGATGGAGAGGAAGGATGAGCTGGAAAGGGGAACTCTGGGTCTGCCACCTTTCCTCTTCTAGGGACCTGTCTGCAGCAGCCCTGATCCACGTGCTCTCGAAAGCACCATCTCCTCCCATACTCTGTTTCCAGTCCTCACGTGGTCCCCACATTCCAGGCCCCTAGGTCCCAGGCCTCTCAGTTTCTACTCTTCACCACCCCCCTTTCCTGTTTATTCTCTGGCCTTCAATTCTAGCAGTCCCTCGGAAGCAAGACAACAGGAATCAGGAGGGGGGCTATGGGGGCTCAGGGAGGTGAATGGTGGGGGAGATGAATGGTGAGACATTGAAGGGATTTCCTCCCGGAAGGGCCCAGCATTAAGCCAGCCGTGGGGTGGGAACGACTGGACCAGGAAAGGCACTTGGTGGGCCCTTGACCTTCCCCAATCTCCATCTCCTGGCCTCTTAAGCCTCTTGCCTTAGCAGGTGGTGAATCTTTTCCCTCTTCTCTTACGCGTCTGCAAGGGTCTTCTGCCCCAAAGTTCCAGAGTGAGCTGGATTCTGTCTGAGGGTGGGCACCCTCTTGCCCATCCCCCCAGTAGTCACCACCCTTGGCTTTGGGCCTAAAGCTTTGGTCTGTGTGGCGGAGTTGTCTCTACAGCAGGCTGTCCCCAAGGATGGGCGAGAATCTCCTCTGTCCACAGCCCTCAAACCCTGGGGAAACCCTGGGGCTCAAACCTCTCCCTCGACACCATCAGGCATCCTTCTAAGGGAGCTGGGCCCCCACTTCTCCCACCGCATGCCTCACCTCTGGTCGTGGTTGTTGAGAAGCACGGGTGGAGCAGCAGCAGCAGCAACAGTAGTGAGAAGGACTGCATTCCAGAATCCCGGCCCCACACTCCGGTCCCCTCTCCCTCTTCAGGCAGGGACCCTTAGAGTCTCCCTGAGGCAGGAGCCACCTCCTCTGCTCCCACTGCCCCTTTTCTTCCTCCTCAGCCTACTGCAAACCTCACGTCTGAGCTGTTTCCTGAGTCACACAATGTCCTGGACACCCTAGTGTGTGTGGAGAAACAGGGGGGATGAGGGAGGGGCCTCCCTGACAGCCCCTAGGGAAGTGGGGGAAGTAGGAGAGTGTGGCTGGAGGGCAGGTGCTAGGAGAGGAGGGTCTACAAGTGGGGTGCTGGGGCGGGCAGCCCCTGCTCCTCTGTTTCTGTCATAGTCTTTACTTTATAAAGAAGACATTGCACAGTGGCTGTTTCAGGCCCTGGAGGGACTGGACCTGGAAACTGGTGTAAGGAACGAGACTGCTCTTCCCAGGAAAAGTCGCTTGCTTTGTCAGGTCAGAACAAATGCTTCTTAGGGAACCCGAAACTTTCCATAATTTGAAACCACTCAGTCTTGGCACAGGAAAACCAGGGGACTTCTGAGCCTCACCTTGGCCCTAACTGGGGACTTGGCTTTTCCCTAATAGGGACAGAATACTGCATTGGTTTGGGGAAAACTTTGGTCTTCCTTTAGAAAAGGATGTGTAAGACTATCATTATTAATGGTAAATGAACATAGTCTAGTATGCATTTTGCAGTCTGGATTCTCCATGTTGTTAAGTGCGGTCGAGTTGGTTCCAACTCATAGCAACCCTGTAGAGGGGCTTCCAAGGAGTGGTTGGTGAGTTTGAACTGCTGACCTTGTGGTTCAAATCAACCTTGCGGTCCAGTGCTTTATCCCACAGCACCACACCAGGACTATAGCAAATACTAAATTTTGGGTGGATTCCCTAGCCCTGGAGTCCCTGAATGGTACAAGCATGCTTGACTATGAATCAAAAGTGTGGAGGTTCGAGTCTACCCAGAGATGCCTCAAAAGAAAGACCTGGTGATCTACTTCTGAAAAAATAAATTCATTGAAAGCTACTAGTGTTGCCATGAGTCTGAGCTGTTTTTCTTTTCCCCCATCTTTTCTTCCCTCTACTTCAGAGTCACAGGGATCAAGAGAATGTCGCTCTGTTGGGATACAACATTGGGATAAACAAAATCACAAAAGGGTATTCGTTACCCTGAAAAAAACTCATCCTACCTTCTTGAATGAGCCCAGGAAAGGTTGGGAGCAGCCATGCACCGAGTTCCTCGAGTAGCACAGAAAACCGAGAGTCCCAGGTATCAGCTCTATGACATGAACACCTTCCCAGACCAAAAAATAAACGCCACCAGCATCCTGAACCTTTTTTTTCCCTTTTTGTTGTTTCTTAAACATTTTATTTAGAAATAATTTTAAACTCACACAAAAGAGGCAAGACTATAAGCATGATAAAAATAACTTCAGAATACCCTTCACTTAGATTCACTAATGACATTTTGCCATGTTTGATTTAACCACTATTTTTCCATGAATACACATTAAAATTTTTTTCTTATAATAGTAAAAAAACTTTATTGTGAATTGACTGCAAGTTTATACAGATCATCAGTTTTACATTCAGAAAATCATATACTTTGCTTCATCACAATGATTGCAATCCCCTCCATGTACCATCAGTTAACAGTATTTACCTCCATTTCCTATAACTCTTACACTCCTCCCTGTGTCTTCTGCTACTTTCATCTTTCCTCTGCCAACCTACCTCTTGTTTTATATTGTCTGCTCCATCACCCATGTTAACTCTCTAGCCTGTGAATAATTCCACCCCCATCATAGAATGTTTCACTTAGCAAGAGAATGTTTTCTTCACTTTTTACAACCACGGTCTCATACAATATTTGTCCTTTTGTGATTGACTAATTGCACTCCACAGCACATAACAACAACAATTGCACTCAGCATAATGCCTCCCAGGTTCATCCGTGTTGTGAGGTGTTTTTCAGATTCCTCATTATTCTTCAATGTTGCATAGTATTCCGTTGTGTGTATGTACCAAAGTTTGTTTACCCATTCTTCTGTTGATGGACATTTAGACTGTTTCCATCATTTTGCTGTTGTGAATAGTGTTGCAGTGAACATGGCTGTGCATATATCTCTTCATGTCACACCTCCCGTTTCTTGAGGATATATGCCAAGTAGAGATATTGCTGGCTCACTATAGTATTTCTATTTCTAGCTTTTTGAGAAAGTGCCATACTGTTTTCTACAGTGGTTGCATTATTTTACATTCCCACCAGCAGTGTAGAAGGATCCCAGTCTCTTCACACCCTCACTGGCATTTGTTGTTTGTTTTCTATTTTTGGGAACTTTGCTATTAATGCTGGAGTAAGATGGTATCTCATTGCTGTTTTGACTTGCATCTCTCTAATGACTATTGGGAGTTCTGGTGTGGTGCTGTAGGATAAGCATTGGATCAAAATGTGGGTTTGAACTGCAAGGTCCAAGGTCAATGGTTGAAACTCACCAGCTACTCCTCAGAAACTCTATGAGTCAAAACCAATATTGATGGTCTTTATAGTTCTAGGTTTTATATCTAGGTCTTTAATCCATTTCTGTGTGTGGTTTGAGATATGGGTCTTGTTTAATTTTTCTGCAAATTGGTTTCCAATTTTGCCAGCACCATTTGTTGAAGAGACTATCTCTTCCGCATTTAATGCATTTTGGCTCTTTGTTGAAGATCAGTTGAGTGTATGTGGATGGATTTACTTCTGGGTCCTCAATTCTGTTTCACTGATTTATGTGTCCTTCATTTTACCAGTACCAGGCTGTTCTAACTACTGTGGCTGTGTAGTAGGTTATGAGATCAGGAAGTGAGAAACCTCTAACTTTGTTCTTTTTAAATTATGCTTTGATTATCGGGTTCTCTTTCCTTTCCATATAAAGTTGGTGATTAGCTTTTCCATCTCTGTTAAGAATGATATTGGAATTTTGGATTAGGATTGCGTTATTTCTATAGCTTGCTTTGGGTAGTGTTGACATTTTCACAATGTTGTCTTCCTATCCCTGAGGAGGGTATATTCTTCCGTTTGCATTTTTCGGTTTATTGTAGTAGTGATTTGTAATTATTTTTGTATGGGTCTTTTGTTTCTCTAGTTGGATTTGTTCCCAAGTATTTTGTTTTTTGGGTGGTTTATATGTTTTGAGGTTCTTTCACTGGAGGCACAGATATTTATTATACTTATGTTCTCTTGTTCAATTGATCAAGAGAATGCCTTCTTTTTCTCTTATGCTGGTTTTTGACATGCAGTCTATTCAATCAGAGATTAGAATGTCTACTCCTGCTCATTTTTGATTGCCATTAGTTTGGTATATTTTTTCCATCTTATGATTTTTAGTCTATTTCTGTCTTTGTGTCTCTTGTAAATATCATATTGAAAGATCCTGTTTTCTTTTTTTTTAAATCCATTCTGCTACTCTGACTAGTTAATCCATTTGTATTCTGAATAATTATCAATAGGTTTGGATTGAATTGCTGTCGGTTTGTGTTTTTTGTGGTGCTACTGGTTTTCATTTTACTTGTGGGTTTCCTTTTCGTGTTCTTTATTTCTCTTGTGTTAATGTTTATTACATTTTCCCAATTTTCCTCTTTTTTATTTTGATGTGAAGGTATATTCATTTTCTTTGATGTTATCTTGTAATTTATTATTATTTTTCTCTATTTAAAACACTCTGTTTTGTCTTGAAGTCTACTTGACTTACTTGCTATTTGTAAATTCTATATGGTGCTGTGGGTTAATGCGCTGGACTGCAAGGTTGGTGATTCAAGCTCACCAGTCACTCCTTGGAAACTCTATAACAGGGTCACTATGGGTTGGAACCAACTCAACGGCACTTAACAACAACAACAACAACAACAACAACAACAACAACAACAACATATTTACACTATTCTCTTTTTGTTTTGTAGTTGACTTCATTATAAATGGACATATCTGGTTCCCTATATACAGTCTTGTAAGTTTGTTTTACTTCATATACTTCCGTTTTTGGATTGAGGTCTGGGTGGTATTGTCATGTATGTTAATCACAGGTTATTGTATGCTGTTATTCGTTCTCAGTCCAAAGCACATCCTCTAATACTTTTGTGAAGTTGGTCTTGTTATTACAAATTCCTTAATTTTTGTTTTTTTTGCAATTTTCTTATTTTCCCCTTTCCCTTTGGGGGGCGGTTTTGTTGGTTTTTTGTTTTTTGTTTGGGGTTTTTTTTCTTTCAGAGTTTTGTATATGCCATTCCATTGCCTTCTTGCCTGCATGATTTCTGCTGATAAATCAGAGTTTTAGTCATATTGGGTCTCCTTTGTAGGTAACTTTTCCATTTTTTGGAGTTGCTCTTAGGATTCTTTCCATGTCTTTGGTCTTGGACAGTTTGATTATGATATGTGTTGGTGATTTTCCTTTGAGATCTGTCCTGTTCTAGGTTTGTTCAGCTTCCTGCATGCTTATCTTCTCATCTTTCATGATGTTAGAGAAGTTTTTTTCAAACAACTCCTCTGAGATTTTCTCTGCGTTTTTTATTGTTTCTTCCTGTTCTAGAATTCTGATCACCTATAAGTTGTTCCTTTTCATGGTGCCCCACATAACTATTAGGCTTGCTTTGGATTTTTAAATCTTTTTTCTGACTGTTATTCTAGCATACTAGTATCGAGACATTTATCTTTACATTCACTAATTCTCGCTTCCATTACTTCGAATCTACTCCTTTGTCTTTTCAACAACGTACTGTCCATTTCTGATATCTTAGTATTAATCTTCTGGATTTCTAATTGCAGGTTTGTATTGTGTCCCAATTTGCATTTACTTTATCTGTTTGTTCTTGTAGTATTTCCTGAATTCTTCTAAAGTTCTTTCTGTGTTATCTTTGTTTTCCTTGATCTTTAGGTCAATCCTTTGGCGGTACCTAAATACCATTCTTTTGAATTATTTTTCAGTGAGTCCCAGTACCTTTTCTTCTTCAGAAATGTTT